GGACCTAACATTCCAGGTTCCTATGCAATATTGCTCTTTATAGCATTGGACCTTGCTTCTGTCACCAGCCACATCCACGACTGGGTATTGTTTTTGCTTTGGCTCCATCCCTTCATTCTTTCTGAAGTTATTTCTCCACTGCTCTCCAGTAGCATATTGGGCACCTACCGACCTGGGGAGTTCATCTTTCAGTGTCCTATCATTTTGCCTTTTCATACTGTTCATGGGGTTCTCAAGGCAAGAATACTGAAGTGGTTTGCCATTCCCTTCTCCAGGGGACCACACTCTATCAGACCTCTCCACCATGACCCGTCTGTCTTGGGTGGCCCCACACGGCATGGCTTAGTTTCATTAATTAGGCCACATTAATCTCCTCCAAACATTGGCTTTACTATACCATTACCTTATTCAGAGACAACTAGTGGCTCATGTGCTTTAGTCTGGGGTAGTGTAATGGACTGAATTGTGTCCTACCCAAGACTCAATAGGTTAAGAGACATTAGAGTGCTCTCTCTCTCTCCACATAAGCACAGAGGAAAGGTTGTGTGAGCACACAGTGGTGAGAAGTCAGCCATCTGCCACACAGAAAGAGAGTCCATATCAGAAACCAACCCTGTTGGTACCTTGATCTTGGAATTTCCAGCTTCCAGAAGTGTGAGAAATATATTTCTGTTGTCTAGGCCACCCAGTTTGTGGTTTTTTGTTATGGCAGCCCACGTAGACTATACAGAGTATATGGTGTCGACCATACATGCTTTTAAACAATCTCTCCAGTTGTCTGTATCTCTCCTTATTTCTTAGTTCAAGTACCATTTATTAATACTTATTTGGTTTATGAATCTAACACCCATACCTCTGCGTGTGCTGCTCCTCATCCTTATTAATACCTTTTCTGAATGTTGACTTTTCCCCATTTATCAAATTCCATCAGAGGTCCTGATCGAGTCCACTGTGGAGCTTTCTCCTTCACCCCAGGTGGGCACAATGCTCCTTCCTCTGAACTACTATTGAACTTCCTGCGTGTACTACTGATCTGACCTTCACCACATGCTGTTAGTACTTGTCTAAAAGGAGTGTCAGCTCCCTTAGCAAATGCATTTTTCTTACAATCTGTGTTCAGCATAACAAAATATGGAACACATAGAAAAACACATAATAAAGAAATACTGTCTCTATTAGATCACCAGTAATAAGACCATCCAATAAACACTTCCAAAAATAAAATCCATCCAGTCTTTTTCTTTAATGTGTGTACATACATGTATATAGAATTCAACTCTATATGCTTTATATTATGCTTCTTTCATTTAGCATATCTTGAACATCTTTATTGTCATTATTCTTTCTAAAGTTGATTTTATTTATAACATCCCATTCTACAGTCTATAATTCATTTAACCAAATCCCTATTTGTGTTTATTTCTAATCTTTCTATGCTATAAATAACCTATGATAACTATTATTATCAAATAACCTTTGCATAAATTCATGAAAATATCCTTGGGATAAGATTTTATAATAGAAGTGCATTTTCTTATGATTTGTATAGCCACATGGTTCTGCAAAAAGTTGTGCTCCTATTAACATGAGAGTGCCCATTTCTTTATAAACCTAAGTAAAGTTTGATGTATTTTCAAATGCTTTGCCAGTTGTAAATATGAATGTAATGAGAACAAAGATCATGTGCTATTTTATGTTTCCTATTGCTACCACTACTATTGAGGTTAACCTGTCAATTATACTACACTATAAACTTTTCAAACTCTTTTCACACACATAAATTAGAGTAATAATTTACAGCATCTAGCACAGTGCCCTTTATGTACAAAGTTCATAAAAAATTATATTATCATGGAATAATATGTGTGGAGTGCCTTTTATATGCTACCTGAGAGTCACATAAATCCAAAAGTCATTCCTTCACTAGGTATATGTAATTTTTGTAAAAATTATTGTAAGTTTTTGCTCTCCTGAGTTTTAAAGTCCATCTTTAATCCTATTGCCCCTGCTCTACTCTTTATTTATTAATCATTTCATATTCCCTCACTGACATATGAGTTCTTGTTGCAATGGTTAGGTACAATTTAATAAACTGTGATTTTTGAAGAAATGTTTCAGCTTTTTTATAGAAATTGTTCTAGGATAGTCTCTCCTGAATAAGCTCTCATTCATTTTTTAAAAATCCCTTTCTTTTTTTTCATGTATATAAAGTCCCTTTGCTTATATTCCTAGTTCTGAATGTATTGTCTGCATTTTTCCTTTTCTCAAGCACAGCAAACCTGTTGTCAACTTCTGAGATGTAATTGCTTTCACAGTTCTCATTCAAAGTCCTTGTCAAAGAAGGGTGGTCTCCATCACACTTTGAAATCATCAACCATGAGGGGCACAGCTCTTCTGCAGTGCCCCTGACACTCTAGGTGCCCCCATCAGCCTCCACGAACTCCTCCAGACTCATCTGCTGCACTGTCTTGCCTTTTCCTCCATCCTCCACCAACATCTCACCCTTACGTGACTTCCTCTTGTCCCAGAAAAAGTTATAAAAACATTTCAAAAAATAATAAGAACATTTTTACAATGTATTATAAGATATCACTGCAACAAATAAGAATTTTTGAAATTCTACCAAAATCCATTTCCTGGGTACCTAAAGTTTTTATTTAAAGATGAAGACAAAATATCAAATTTTGGAATTGTATTCTGATATTGCAAACAATAAATGAACTGCTACTCATCTTTTCCTTAGTCAGTCTTTTAATTTTGGAAAGTGGAAAGTCTGCCATAATTCTCGGACTCTGGGCATCAAGAATATGACAGGTTTCCTCTAGTGAATACTGTGGTTTTCCCCACAGAGAACATATCTAGAGGATAATCATGCTTTTGTGAACTAGGCTTAAAATGGAACAGGAAAACTATTATTCTCAAGTTTAGATTTTACTCTTTGACTGCAGTGGGTTTAACTGTTATTGTTCTCTGCCAGCCAAGTATCATATTCTGGTGCACACATTATGTCATGCAGAGGTGTACTCCAGATTTTCACACACATATATTCATTTAATCATCATCTCAACCCTGTGAGGAAAGTATTACTCTCCCATTTTACAGATGAGAAAATGAGGTTTAGAGAGGTAAAATAATTTGCCTGATCTAACAATCTAGAAATGTCAGAGTTGGCATTTGAACCTAGCTTTATGAAACATTCTCCTTTCACACTAAATTTACCTCCGAAATAGTTTTGCCCCAGACATAAGTGCCATCTTCAGGTCTGCCTCCATTTAGGTAAATCCATACTCGTTTTGCATTGGGCTGTTTATACAGGTTGCTCTGCTTGAATGCTGTACATTTAGGTGCAATGAAAGAATTTCTCTTGGATTGCAGTTCTTGGACTTCAGAAAGGTGTGCCTGTTAAGAAAAGTCCAGAGAATGTCATGGTTAGAGAACTGTCTGTTTAGTGTGTGTGTGTGTGTGTGTGTGTGAAGGATATAATGAAAGACAGAAATATCTTACCATTGTACGTTATGTTGAAAAAACTTTAGGAAATACATTACCATCTCCTATCACTGACTCTTCTGTGATTCCCCTTGCTTCAGTGAATCACTATAGGCAATAATAGCCATTAGAGTACTAACAATAAGGCACTTATTTTGGCAAAGTACTTAACTTTCATTTATAATTTGGAGAAATGAATAGAGATGTGTTTTTGGATTTGTGCATGGTGTTTCTCCTACTGAGTGATTTCTCTGCATCTAACAAATGAGTTTTTTATTAGAATCACAACATCATTTCCTTTAACCAAGAAATGCTTAAGGGAATGTGCATGACTGTTGTTTAAATCTTTACTCTCTGTCTTTTAAAATACAGCAGCCACCCTTATACTCTGCCAGATCCCTGCCAGGCAGCTTTTCATCCTACTTCAAGCATGTCCTAGTTCAATGCTTTGCATTCATTCCCTGGTCAGTGATTTATCCTTCCTAGCTTGGCAAGAAGTCATATTTCTAGCAATGTCAATTTCTTTTTTTTCTAGTAACCTTGACTTCGGCACACGCCTAAGATTTAGATTGAACACATTTCATGATTTGAGAAACCCTATTAAATAAGAACACATCATTTTGATGAAAAACTTCACAAAGCAAAAAGTTTTCCCAAGTCTCTATCCCCAACCCTCTCTCAACAGTTGACCTTTCTTGTCTTGACTTTTTTTATTTCTGGCAATCCTGACTGATTAATCAATTGGACTGAAACTGCTTTTTTGAATTCTTCACTTCCGAATGTCTCCATTGCAATTAGTATTTTGCTCCTTCCTCTTTTTACAGATTGAGACATACCCTTAGGAGTGATGAGCAATGGAGCCATAAGGCTCAACTTGACTACACTTATTATAATTACCTTTGTACATATCCACTGGGCCTTTTTCTCTTCTTTGCTAAGGTCATAATTTCTGGTCTCCATTCAAACAAAACAGACTTTCCTAGGAGCTGGCTGTCTCTTAGATAACTATTCTCCAAATGCCAACTCAATACTTGGCATATGCTTATGTGGTCATAACTGACCAGATGCTGAGAATAAATTAATAGCATAATGTAAAAAATTCAATACTGTGGTTTTAAAAGCTTATAAAAGAGGCTGAGCCTTTAATGTCTGGAGTCCTAAAGAGCGTACCTCTGTATGTCTTATGAGGTCCATGAGTTTAATTTCCTCTTGAGTCTGCTCAGCACAGCCTCCTTCCACTACCACCAGCTGCACAGGGCTTTTGCTGGGAACCACGGTGGCTGACTGACGCGCTGCTACCCGCCGCCCTGGGGAAAGAAGTCACTAGAAATGTTGTTTCTAATGATAGGCGTTCAGATTTCAAATAAATTGGTTTGGCTTTCTATGCATAAATCATTCCACTTGGGAGCAGAGGCTAAAATACTAAATATATCATAAAAGCGAAGATGCCTAAGGAAATAAGATCTAACAATGGCTCTTCATATGGGAGCTGGAGGCTTTAAATAGCCAGGATATGCATACTCACTGTACAGATAGAATAGAAAGATAACATGCTGACTTCCACATTGGCCCCAGCCTCTCATCCACGATATGGTTCAGTGGTAATTTAGTCAAATAGAATCCATGACCTATATAGCCCATCATCTCTTCCAGTCATGGAACATATGTTTTGTTCTCTTCACTAATAATAAGCCTTTCCCCCACAATTAGCTTAGCAGCCTGGGGATTAAGTATTTCTAAAATAATATTAACCCAAGAGACAGGAGGCCTTTTTTTTTCCTATCTAATAATACCCCGCGAGCACGATTAGTTTCTGACACCTCTGCTGTGTCCTTTGCGCTCTTAAGAAGCTGTAAAAGAGAAAATATTTATTGGAATACTGTATTCTAAAGAATCACAGGCATAAGTTAATAAGTCTGGTGATTTGAATTTATGTATTCTTTCAGCTAGATGACTTTAAATCATCATAAAAGAGGTTTAAAGGTCACACTTATTAAATTGTTTTCTTTTTCTGGGTTGAAGATATTCTCAGCAATGAGTCTCATACTCAGAGAAGTTGATCTCCCAACTTCTTAAAGTACAAATCATGTTTTCTCTTGTATATCCCTTCTAGAAATTGATGTTGAACACCAGCTATGAGTCAGGCATTGTGCTAGATGGTGCCAATACAAACATGTAGGAGACCAAGCCCTTGCCTAAAAGGCTTACACTTTGGAAAGGAAGGCAAATGTCAAGGAAATGATTACACCAATAATTGATTGTTAAGTGTGTTGCACCCCCGAAGTACAGGGTTTGTTAAAAATCATGTAACAGGCCTTTCTGACATAGTCTGCTGTGTCAGAGAAGGCTTCTTTGAGAAAGTAACACTTAGATGGTTAAAATAATAGAAATACTGAAATGAAGCTGAGTCCTAATTTTGTTGCCAGGGGACTCTTAACGCACAGGTTTTCATACCCTGACTATGAACACAGCCCTCTGAAAATAACTCAGTATTCGTAGAGGATGAAGCGTTGGTGCTTTTATAGCTTGTTTGTGGAAATAGATCCAGTAATAAAAATAGGTGGCAGCAATGACTTTTCAGGGAAATCAGAACTCTACATACCTTATTATCATTCATATGCAATTTATGGATGTGGAAAAAATATAATTGAATCAACAGCCAATGAATTATAGTGACAATGCCTTTAGCCAGCATACTTTGGAGAAGAACATAGTGGCACCAGAAAAATACATAACACAAATTTATGTTAAATATAGCTTTTAGCTGACTCTATGCATAATGTGCAGGTAGCATTAATTTAGGACACATAAATTCTTATGGATAATATCTCAATAAATATTTTATTTGTAATGCATTTTGAACACTAAAATTTTGCTTAACTAAAGGCAGTTCTATGATAGCTTATCATTTACACTGTTGAAAGCAAGGATTTGAACATAAGGAAGAGCAAAAAACATTATGCATTATTTGGTATTTGTCAACTTGTTTCTAACGATCTAAGAAAATGAAAGCACTTGCCAGTGCCATTAGCCAGCATGTTTTGGAGATTTATAATGTTTTAAAAGGACATAATGTCATCACAAAAGGTGTAGGTTTGGGGAAAGATTTTCATAGCAAACTATATTATTTATGTAGGTAAGAATATCAAATAGAAACCAAAAAAAATGCACTGGATAAATTGTTTTTATTTTCTTATTATATTTTCCATATTTTCTGTTTTATTTACACGAGATTGGGGAGGGGGTAATCATGTGTGTGTGCTGTGTGCTAAGTCACTTCAGTCACGTCTGACTCTTTGTGACCCCATGGACCATAGTCCACCAGACTCCTCTGTCCATGGGATTCTCCAGGCAAGAATACTGGAGTGGGAGAAATCATAACACCTAACTATTAGAGCACATGAGTACTTTGCTCTTCTTTCTGACTATAAATCTCACCTGAACAGCACTCCTCAGGCCTCTTCTTTATCAGGAGCCCATTCTGATTCAGCACCATACATGCCTAAAAGGATTAGCCCACCTCATTTGGGATTTCAGTTAGCAGTTCCATTAGCTCTCACACTAAATAAAATGTCCCAGCAATGCCTTTATATATAACAAAGGTGATACTTTGGCCTGATCTGCCATCCCTCAATTTTGTTTATCAGTTTCTAAGACCCTATGTGGGAAAACGGACAGCCTTCTCAAGAACCCCTATTTCAATATTCAGTGAATATTTATTCTGCGCTAAGCATGTATAAATATTTGACATCTATAACTTAATCATAAAAATCATACAAAGTTATTACTAGTATTTGATTAATATTAGCAAAGATCATGCTTACAAATGAGATGTAAAATCAGCTTAGTACAATATATGCTCAATGAACATTTGCTGCATTTACCAATGGCTACAATAGTAAGATATAATCAATTTCATCACTATTCATATCTTCCAAACCTCCTCTTTCATCCAATACTCAAGAAGCTCACAATCCAACAGGGACTGCAGTTAACTGAGTTTAAACTTGTTCTTATTTATTCTCATAATCCCAACAATTATTAATAGAAAAGACCATCCTCTGAATAGGTATTTTAATAAGGCCTATTCTGAATTTACATTTAATAGCAGAAAATGTAACAGACAAGATTTATCTAAGAGAAACTACATTAAGGGATTCCCCCATAATGGACACCATCTGACCAAATAGACTGTTTTTCAACAGTGATATTGTAGATGATGCCAACTGAATTTTAAAATGTCTTTTTAATACTGAATTATAATAAAAGTTAAAGACATAATATAAAATCAGAATTCAATAAAAGCAGCTCTGCCACGTACTATTTTTAACATTACTTTCAAATGATTTAATTTGATAAAAATTAAAACAGACCTTAGAAAACTCATTGAGGTAAGTGGTTGAAATTCCGGTTATCCTTTAATTAAATAATTCTACAATTACTCAGAGGACAAATAAGAAGGGTATAGAAAAATTTATAACATAACATAGGAGAAACAGTCATATGATCCAGTATATAATAAAATGATAAGGGCTATCAGTAGGGAAGTTCAGGGTATGATAAACCATACTATTCCTGACCTAGAATGTTAGAAAAGTAAGCTGAGAAGTAAATAATGAGAAGCAATCCAAAAGAGCAGGAGAGAGAACTAAACTGTGTCAAAAGGAAACTAAATTGTGTCAAAAGTTCAGAGTTAAGAAAGCATATGTCTGGGGGACCAAAAAAAAAAAAAACTCCACATGGGTGGAGTGGAATGAATAAGGGGAGGAAGAAACTTCCAGAGAACCAGATCATGAAGGACAATATTAAGGACTTTCACTTTTGCCATAAAGATAACGAGAACTTTGAAAGGTTTTATGCCTGGAGTATTGTAACTCCTTTGCCTTTCTGCATTATCACTCCAGGTCCAGAATGTCACCTTTATGCATAGAATGGATACTACTATCAAGATGGGAGGCAGGGAGACCAGTTAAAAAGCTAGTCCAGTAACCCAAGGAATAGGCAACAATAGCTCGAACTTGGATAATGATAGTAGGAATTAAGGCCATTAGAATTCATTTGAAAATAACATATTCAAAATAATAAGACTTAGGGATATTTGCTTAAAGATAGTAAGAGAGGGAAGTGCCAAGGATGACTCCCAGGTCCTTGAGCTGGAACACCTGAGTGGATTGTGGCAATGTATACAGAAGAAATAAAGGAGGCATCGGTGTGATATATAACATGATATGAAATAAAACAGTGATATGATAACTTTCCAGGTGGCTCAGTGGTAAATAATCCACCTGCCAATGCAGGAGATTCAGGTTCAATCCCTGGGTCAGGAAGATCCCCGGGAGAAGGAAAAGGCAAGCCACTCAAGTATTCTTGCCTGGAAAATCCCATGGACAGAGGAGGCTGGCAGGCTATAGTCATGGGGTCACAAAAGAGTTGGCCACAACTTAGTGCCTAAACAACAACAACAACAACATGGTCATCACATGGGGATATGAAAACTTTAGTTTTAGACATGTCCATGGTACATTCAAATGAAGATATCTAGAAGTTAGAGCAGTAGAGGTTAGCAATAGAAATAGATGCTTCTCAATTAGATGCAATTATTCTTTTGGTAAAAACTGAAAAACAGCCATTTCAACTCAGAGTGCTGTCTAGAGCACTTAGAACTAATTGTCTTATTTATTGAACTGAGGTTCATATGTTTCTGGCACCAGACAGTACAAATACTCAGGAGCTGAAATCCTGCTATGGCAATTACAGAGCCTGAAAGGGATTCCTTCTCAGACTAAGTCCATAATACACTTTCATCCTCAAAGAATGATTTAGTGTTTCAAGTACTGGGAACAATATAAGATCAGAAACTTAAGATTCTGTGACAAAAAGAATAGAAGAAGAAGACAAATATTGTCAATTTATCACTGTCTCTGAATAACATATCTTATGCTGCATAACAAGAGAGAGCTCTTCTGAGATAAAAACACTAATTTTGAAGAACTTAGATTCAGTCCTTATTCAGATTATTTAACAAAACTTCTTCCCAAGAAATACTCAAGAAATAACAGAATGCTTTGTCAATGACTAATTCCAAAGTCCACAAAATGTCAGTTCAGGAATTGTTTCAAAATCAATAAGCTGGTTACAGGATCCACACATCCTCCAAATTTTAAAAATGCATCTATGTAAATCATGTGATATTCATATTAATATAAAATTTACAAGTATAAAAATCAGTACTGAAAAGATATATTATTAAGTTTTAGACTCGCTCAAGGGATTTTTGTAACATAAAATATTCAGTTAAACAGCTGGTATCTAATGCTAGAAAAAAAAAAACTACCAGAAAATTGAGACTACACTTAAAACATGGTGATACTTGATTTAGTTCTTACTGACCTTTTAACAGTCTCATTTTGTGTTTCATGACATCTAGATCAGCCAAAATTTTGTCCTTTTTAAGCCAGTTCTGTTTTTCTATTTTTTCTGCTTTCTTCAAAGCTAGAACAATAAAAATACATGATGTTTTATTTTGCATTCTTTTTATCAACAGTAATTTATCATGAAAGCCAATGATTTATAAAAAGAAGTTTCTGCTTCAAGAAATAGATTCAATTAGAAATAAGTAATTAAAAGGTAAGGGTCATTAAAAGAAACCTCATTTGAAAGATGACAGGGCTTAAGGCATTTTTTTTTTATGGAAAGCACAGGAGAAAAGAAGAACAGTGCTGTTTTATTATATAGATTTACCATATGCAATAGCCATATTTCATTTTCTACTTCCACAAACTATTTGGAGGTGATGAAAGCCTGGCTTGGAACCATTCATTTTTTAAACATCCACCTACTGCCTAAAGGGTGCAATTCTTAAAAATGAAAATGTGCAGACAGGTCGTCTTCAGTGTGAATTAAACTCATTTGTTATTTTCTAATGTATACCATTACTCTCAGTCTTATAGACCAAGAATCTCTTTATCAACTAAATTAGACATTTTCTATGCAGAATACTCCATTCCAGTAAGAAAAAAATAGGCAATTGTGCAAATATAAGAGTACAGCTATCCTTGTGTACATGTTAATTGATGAACCGCCTGTTCTTTGCATAAAAGTGATGTTATTAGGTTGACATTGTACACATTTAATCCTTTTTCTTATGGTGACAAAAGATTTCTCTCTCCCTTCATGTACTTGCTTGAAAGAAAGCAACAACAAAACACTGACCATTTGGAGACAGAAATGGTTCACCACAAGATACCCAGACGGCAATGGGATTTCTGAGGATGAGGGTGAGCAGAGACGTATCTATATCATCCAAACTATCGGATGTCACAGACTGTTCAGATGATCTGGTTTTCACTTTCACTCTTGAGTTCCCTGGGAAACAAATGACACATTTACCATTGTTCAATGAATAATGAATAAATTTGCTTGCTGAATCATTTGTTTTTTCAAAATATTTCATTCTTCATTAATGACTTGATTTAAGCAGGTTAACACCAAAACCAGATACAAATACATAAATTTTGATCAGAAACTTCAATGCAACTAAATAATCTAAACTAATTTTATCATAGATACACATTTTCATTCCTTTCTTACACTGTATCTAGTGATGAAAAAAAAAAAGAGATGGCTTACCCAAATATCTACTCTGAAATAGGGAAAAGTAAAGATAAAAAAGCAAGGAAAGGCAGAAAGGAGTATAGGAACTGACTGAAACCAGAGACAAGGGGCTTCAGAGAACTCATCAATTAAATGATTAATAGCACCTATCTCATTCTGCTGCTGTTCCCTTTTTAAAAAAGGGAAGTGCTTAGAAAATTATTTAGTCTATTTAATTGTGCAAGCATCCAAAAATTCTAGATAATATTTTTATTATCATCATCATGATACTAGACATGAATATCACATTGTTTTTCTTTGCTTGAGATAAAGCACTATTTGGGCTCTGAGGATCCTTGTGGCTAAAGCAAAGAGGAGAACACCATTTCGAGATATGAATGGCTGATGGAGAGAGATGAATTCCTCAAGATACACTTTTCCAGGTCCTGAGATCTGAAAGAAACACTTCAGGATTTTCATAAAGGGGTTTTTGTGATTCAGCTAATAGTATCCTACTATGTAAATTAATGCAAGCTGAGAATCCACTATGTACTGGGCATTCCACTAAGACCTCCACCTACATTATCCAATGCAGTTCTCAAAACGGTCTCCAGAGAAGAGCCGGCCCATCCCCGCTGGAGGTAGGAGGCAGGGGGGAGGGGAAAAGGGCAAACTCAGCCCCTGAGAAGCCACCCCCTCCCACACTGCAAACAGGCCTC